CTCTCCTGACTTACTACTAGCCTTTTGAGCTCTTTATTAGACCAGTTAGGTGTTTCAGACAGGCCAGTAATACAGCTTCACAGAGTTAAACAAATACAACATAAAGAATGCAATACAAATCATTGAAAATATTTCATAGCATAAATGAATGTAACACATACACACATGCACATGCATGCGCACATGTGCACACACACACACACACAGACACACAGACACAGACACACACACACAGACACACACACACACACACACCTTTGAACACACAACTCTAAATGGCATATCTCCATCCAATCCCTCCCCTCAGTGCTCAGGGAGCCACACAGAAGAGGAGAAGGAAATAGTGTAAGACCTAGAAAGGATGGAAGACCAAAGGAGAACAAGGCCCTCTAAATCAGCTGACTATGCTCATATGCACTCATAAAGACTGAAGCAGTGAGCACAGGGTTAACACATGTCTTCACCAGGTCCTGTGTATATATGTTATAGCTTTTAGTTTAATATTTTTATGGGACTCTTTAGAGTATGAACTAGTGGGTCTCGGATTCTAGTGCCTTCCCTTAGGGCTTTTTTCCCCTTCCATTGCTTTGCCTTGTCCAACTTTGATTTGTTGGTCTTTTTTTATCTTATTATATTTTATTTTGATATATGCTGCTATTATCTATTAGAAGTCTCTTCTAAGACAGAATGGAATGAACCTAGATGGGAGGGAGGCAACAAGGTTCTGGGAAAGGGATAAAATTCTAACAGAATGCAACATAGATCTTGAAAAATAATTTACATTTTCATATAGGAACAAAAAACTTGCAGGAGAGCTGAGTAATAATCCTGATTAATAAAAGACCTGCTGCAGGCATCACCCCCACTATCAAATTGTACTGCAGAAATATAATAACCGAAGCAATATGGTATTGGCATAAAAACAGACATGTTGGTCAATGAAAGCAAGTCCAAGACCATGTGTTCATACACCCATGGAAGCCTGGTATTTTATGAAGATGTCAGTGATGCTTATAGGAAAAAGGAAAGCTCCCTCACCAATCAATGCTTGTCAAACTAGATGCTGCAAATAAGAAGAATTAAAATAGATAAATACTCATCCCACACAAAACTCAATTTCTAACTTCCAGCACAGGCAATAAGATCAAATAGTAATAAATAGGTTCTCATGAAACTGAGAAGATTTTGTAAGGCAAAAGACGCCATCATTCAAAGTGGCAAACTACACAATAAGAAAAGATTTTTTTAAAAATCAACCACACATGATAGAGGCCAAATATAAAAATATATGAAGAACATAATAAATTGAGCGTCAAGGAACAAAGCACTTCAATTAAAATATGTGGTACAGGTATACACAAAATTCTCTAAAGAAGAAGCCCAAATGGAGTGAGAAGAAGTTAAATAAATGTTCTACATCCTTAGTCATCAGGGAAATGCAAATCAAATGTGCTTGATTTTTGTACCAGTGAGAATGGCCAAATTGGTAAACCAAATAACAACCCATGGCCAGTGGCAGTCCATATTTGTCCCATCATTATGGAAATAAGTATGGAACTTTCTCTGGAAAGTCTGAATTGATCAACATCAAGATTCAGCTACACCATTCTAGGACATATACCAAAAGAACAGTTTTTTCTAATACATTTGTTCAGCCATGTTCATTACTATTCCATTCATAATAGTAAAAATTAGAGTCAAGCCTAGGTGTTAATCCACTGATTCATTGATAATGAAAATATGGCACGGTTACAATATGGAGTATTTTTCGGCTGTTAAGAATATTAGCATGCAAATAGATGGAGAGAAAAACACATGAGAGAGGCAATCAAGACCAAAAAAAAAAGACAAATATGGCATGTGTTTGTAGTAGAAAGTTTCTTGACCTGGCTGGGTCCTGCCATCCTTCTCTGTCTCAAAGAAACATGCATATGCTATATTTGTTATTAAGGTGTTGGCTGTTGGCTAAGGTTTCTTACTTGCTAGCTCTGTTGAAATTAACCCATTTCTAATGATCTAAGTATTACCACATAGTCTTCTCTTACCAGAGGAAACGTCAGGGCCTCTTGCTCCATTAAGGTTCACATCCCATGTGTGTGAGCTCGGCCTCTCCACAGAGAAGAGAAAAGATAGATTTCCTGCTTGTCCATGCTTATATTCTGATTCTGTCTGATACATCACTTCCTGCCTGGATCACATGGTGACTTCTCTTTACTACACTTCTCAGAATTCTCCTTGACTCCTAGTCTCACCTATCTTGCTTCCCCATTGGCCATCAGTACTTTATTCAACAACCAAAAAATAAACATTTACACAGAAGGACATCCCCCATCACAAGTTTGATTATACATGAATGTTAGCTGTTACTTCAATAAAAAAGTTACAATTTATCTAACCCCAGAAGTTAGGTATATAGTAAAGATGGGGGTGTGGAGTACATCTACCTCCCTTGGAAGAAGGGGGACTGGAACAGGTGGAACAATTGGTGAGGAAGGGACCACAGGCAGGGGCAGCTAAAGCACAGTCATTTTTATGGCCATATGGAAACCCAATACAATAAAATCTACCTAAAATACACATACATATGAAGGTTATCTAAATGAAATTGTCAAATAATGAGGAGACAAAGCCCCATCTGATATCACCTGTCATAATTCAGTAGCAGGAATGGGTTCCATACGTCTTGTTGAGTTGTTGGCCAAAGAGACCAAATTGGACACACGAGACAACCTAGGCTATTATCAAAACTATTGGTTACTTTCCACAAACTGATGGTAAGGTCACACTGCTGATGACAACACCTACACATGTCTTTTAACACAGAAAATTCAAGCTAGAACCTATATGGAACCTTTGCTCTCATAAGGAATGCTAATGTTACTGAAAGGTATTGTGTACACTACCAAGGAAAAAATAAACACCAAACCATGTACAAAACCTTCATAGGCAATGATAAACTTCATGCAAGGTGAACTATTGCAATAGTTGCTCAAAACTTGTGGGGGGTAACCAACAAATATATTTGAATTTGAGGACCACTCCATGAGCTGTAACCCATCCCTTTCTTCTAGGGGAATACAGTAATAAAATAACTCCTAATAACATTCGCCTGTACACATAGATCAGTAACTTGTTCAGTTATAATCAGAGAAGTTTTCTACTGCAGTAGAAGAGAAGAAAAACAGAGAGCCACACATGGACAATATATAGAGAATGAGAGACCTTGGGACAGTCAGTCCTGTATGAGATGTCTACTCAAATTCCTTGCCCAGTGCTCTTGGAACTCTGAGGAAGAGAAGGTGGAAGGATTTTAAGAGTCAGAGGGAATGGGTGTCACAGGAAAACAGGGCCTTATAAACAGAGCAGGGACATTACACTTTTAAACTCACAGAGACTGCTGGAGCAGGCACAAGGCCTGCAAGACTCTGTGTCAGGTGTGGCACCAGTGTTGAAAAGAGAAGTGGGCACAGCCGCATTCCTAACCCTGAAGCTACCACCAACTCATAAACACTTGCAAATTACAAATTAGTTTTAGCCAGTGTTCACTGGGTATACAAACCACTCTTATAAGCAGGGTTCTTGTCCGGCAGTGGTTGATCAACACAAAACAAAATCAATAACATCTTTAGAGATTCAAAGGTTATTTGATTCATAATGTGAAGTCATGGCTGTTATTTTTGTAATCTTACAGATGCTTTGCATATACATTATGGCTTCTTCTTTTGTGTTCTAATGTTTTTGTGCCTCTTTATGTGTTTCTTGTGCTTTTTCAATAACTCTCTCTCTCTCTCTCTTCTGTCAGTTTGTTTACTTTTTCTTATTCTGTTTATTCATTTAATGACTCCTTGGATGCCTGAGTATTTGTAGTGAGAAACATAAAGGAAGAAGATTAGACTACCTGAGGATAATTCTGAGGAGTTGGGAAGGGGAGCAATGATGCAAATGTGTTGTATTAAAGTTCTATATTCAATAAAAGAAAAATTGAAAATATATTTAAATGTTTCAGCTTCCATATCACCAATGGCAAAAGAAGTAAACATAATAAATAGAAATTTTGAAATAAATAACTAGAGTATAGAAAAACTGGAAGTAAACAACATAAAAGAGATATGAAAATGGAAAAAATGCTGAAGTATGTTAAAGAATGGAATATAAAGGAAATAAAGAAAGTGAATAAGAAAGAAAAATGTTAAAGATATAAACACACCTCTTGCCCAATGATTTGTCAGTTTGACTCATCCTAGAATCCACTGGAAAGAGAGTTACAATGAGGATGGTACACTAAATGTTTGTGGGGGATTGTTTTGATTCTTGTTTGATTTAGGGAGAAACAGCCCATTGTGGGTTGCCCAAGTCCTTAGTCATGGAATCCAAAAAGCAGAGAATGGTAGCTGAGATCAAAGAACTAGCAAATGATCTGTCCATTTTAACTGTTCTGAATTGTGAATGTGATGTAAGTCATTTAAATTTCTGGCCTTGAACTCCCCAAATGATACACTGGAAAAAGGAATAGTAAGGAGAGCTAAACTTTCCTCACCTAACTGATTTGTGTGTTTGGTTGGTTTTGGTCACTATGTAATACCACAGAAACTAACATTAAATTAAAACACATGCTCTTGCAGACACTGGGACACTGCCTTGAACAGATTGGCCTGTAAGCAATTATTTCCTGCAATTTTTTTATTGAAAAATTTGCTCTCCATTGATGGGGAATGTCTTCTCTATATATGTTTCTCTTATTGGTTGATGAATAACACACTGATTGGCCAGGCAGGATGATAGGTGGGACTAGGAGGCAAGGAGGATTCTGGGAAGTATAGGGAGAGGAGTTTGCATGTAATCCCAGGAATGACATAGCTGGGCAGAAACAGGATATAAGCAGGGACAAATAGGAAATAAGCAAGCTTCAGAGCCAAGAGGCTAAAGAGATGAGGCAGAAACATGGGCAGTAAGGAAAAATTTAGTTTATTGGCTTAGTACTGCAGATAGATTGGGGATCTCTACTCCGAAGCAATGGTGCTCTGAATCCAGTCCACATAGTTGACGACCTTGGTGTACACACCAGGGTTATCTGCCAAGGCACAGCCATAGCCCCAGGAGACAATGCCCTGGAGCTCTCCATTGCAGACCAAAGGGCCACCAGAGTCACCCTGGAAGGGAAGAACACAGTGCATAAGAAAGGATATGTGATATAAAGCTGTGTGTATTCTCAACTTGATCAATACCTGTCTCTTCTCACTTAGAACATTTGTTTTTCTCTCTGGCCTATCTGTTATCCTCCTCTTTTCCCACAGAACCACCACAGGAAAATTGCTGACCCAAAACACTATGTTTGGAAGTCCCACCACCCAACCACCCAGGAGAGGAGAGGTCTGCATAAATGAAGGGTGCCACTGACCTGGCAGGAATCCTTGCCTCCTGCAAGGAAGCCAGCACAGAACATGTTATCAGTGATCTTTCCGGGATAGGCAGCTTTACATTCAGCCTGAGTCAACACGGGTGCCTCTAGGCACTGGAGCAAGTCTGGATAAAGCTCTGTGAGGAAAGGAAAACTATGAAGACTATTGCATCCAGACAACAATACTGCTGTGAAACAACTGGCAAGCAATGGAGTGTTCCCTGAGATACTACATTCCACTCAGAAATTGTTTTTCCCCTACTCCTGCCATGAATCTTTCATTTCCCCAATCACACAAATTTGTATTCCCTTTCTCCTCTCCTTAAAAAAAAGTGATAGGTCTCCCAGTGAACCTAGACTGTGGCCACATTTGAGAATGCTCTCCACAGCAACATTCCACTGCTGAAGACAGCACTTAAACACAACTTGTTGAACACAGAGAAGTTGAGCTGTGGCCTTCATAGAACCTTGGCTCCTTAGGAGTGCTGGGTTTTTGCTGCAGGAAGGTACTCTGCATGCTATCAAAAGAGAAATGTAAGCACCAAGGCAGCCTCAAGTCCTTCACTCAACAGTGGTGACAAATGCTTCAGTCTGCACTGGTGTTACGCCTGTGAAGTAGTCTACAAGAACACAGCACATAGATTGTTTGAAAACGTGTCTGGAATTTTAACTCTTCGTATGCTGCTGTTACATATAATCTACTTAACACAAGTGATGAGGGAAAGGACCTCAAATGAAAGCAAGCTTCAGAGCCAAGAGGCTAAAGAGATGAGGCAGAAACATGGGCAGTAAGGAAAAATTTAGTTTATTGGCTTAGTACTGCAGATAGATTGGGGATCTCTACTCCGAAGCAATGGTGCTCTGAATCCAGTCCACATAGTTGACGACCTTGGTGTACACACCAGGGTTATCTGCCAAGGCACAGCCATAGCCCCAGGAGACAATGCCCTGGAGCTCTCCATTGCAGACCAAAGGGCCACCAGAGTCACCCTGGAAGGGAAGAACACAGTGCATAAGAAAGGATATGTGATATAAAGCTGTGTGTATTCTCAACTTGATCAATACCTGTCTCTTCTCACTTAGAACATTTGTTTTTCTCTCTGGCCTATCTGTTATCCTCCTCTTTTCCCACAGAACCACCACAGGAAAATTGCTGACCCAAAACACTATGTTTGGAAGTCCCACCACCCAACCACCCAGGAGAGGAGAGGTCTGCATAAATGAAGGGTGCCACTGACCTGGCAGGAATCCTTGCCTCCTGCAAGGAAGCCAGCACAGAACATGTTATCAGTGATCTTTCCGGGATAGGCAGCTTTACATTCAGCCTGAGTCAACACGGGTGCCTCTAGGCACTGGAGCAAGTCTGGATAAAGCTCTGTGAGGAAAGGAAAACTATGAAGACTATTGCATCCAGACAACAATACTGCTGTGAAACAACTGGCAAGCAATGGAGTGTTCCCTGAGATACTACATTCCACTCAGAAATTGTGGCTTTTCAATTACACAACATTCATTGCTAATGTCCTTCCCAAAAGAATAAGAGCACATTCTGCATGAGCCTGGACAGCATTCTGGAGATCAGTCCATTTGCTGTACAAATTTGTCTTGGCTCTGCTTGAGAACCTGCCTCTCTCTCTCTCTCTCTCTCTCTCTCTCTCTCTCTGTGTGTGTGTGTGTGTGTGTGTGTGTGTGTGTGTGTGTGTGTGTGTGTGTGTGTGTGTGCATTGCTGAAGCATCCTATTATATCCTATTATGTATTGGTGTTTATTTAAAGACTGTGAGCATCCAGTGCTGTTCACTCCATCTTTCTTCCCCATCTTTCCCCTTCCTCCACATCTTCCTCACTGGCTCATAGAGATGCCTGGTGTAAAGATGCCCCACTCTGTGAGCAACGCAATCAAGAAACCATCACTTACGTCTTGTAGCAATGAGCTGCAGTCACCACCCATTGCTCATTGATGAGGGAGCCTCCACAGAAGTGGTAGCCAGAGTTCAGGGACACCTGGTATGGAATGGAGTTCTTCTGACAGGTGTAGCCTCCAACAATCTTGTCACCATCATCAACAGGAAGGGCAACTAGAGTGGAGATAGGAGATGAGAACCAGCCAAGTCATTAGCATACTAGATGGTAAGGCCATTGGCTCGATGGCAGCTTCAACCTTGGATTTCCTACTGAGCACAATGAATGCAGGAAAGTGGAGATCCCTCTGTTTCCAATATGTAACATAGATTGTTGGGTTTCCTAGTATTTGGCTCCATAGGAAAGATAGGCCATTGTCACAGGGCTGCGATAACTTCTAAGCATCAGAGTTAGGACAGCAAGAATGACTTAAGAAAACACTTAGCAACTTGATCATATTAGAATCAAGTTTTGAACATGGACTGCTTTATTTTTCAATCTATTATTTGTTTGTTCCTGTGGGATGTTTCTCTTTAGAGAATCAGCCAGGACAGCAACTATGGAGGAGACAGGAAGTAGAAGCAAACTCATCATGATGTTGGAGGTTGCTTTGCTTAGTACCTTCCACCGTTTCAATATTACTTTCTGAGCAGAATGACTGAAAGAAATCAGGGAAATCACTCTCCCCAGGAGTCAGCCCTGGGATTCAATACCTGCCAGGGTAAGGGAATGCAGGACAGGTATGTAGATCTTAGTGGGCTCAGAACTCTTCATAGTTCCAGCAAAAGGATAGAACATTGACATAAACACACTTCATGGGATCTGATTGCATGTCAGTCACCTAACCCATCGCTTGCTTCCCTCTGTAATTCATCAATTACTATGTTGTAGGATTCCTAGTGTGGTTGATGCTGAAGAATATGAGTCCTGGTTCATGCTATGCTCCTTCAGTTTTGCTTTTTATTTCAGTCTAGGTAATCAAGGCTCTAAATTCAATAAAGGATGTTTTAGTGAGTGAAACAAGCTTGTCCTGAAGCTTGACAAATTACAAAACGTCATGTAATATTGTGGAGAATTAATGTAGTAGGGAAGGCTTTGAAGGAGGAGTCCATGTTTTTTAATTAAATAGAAAAGCAGGACTGGGCATGGCATGACTCACCAGCAGCTCCCACAAGCGCCAGCATCAGGAGTGGATTCATGGTGGCAGAAGGTAGTGGGGTCTGAAGAGGGGCATGCTTTTATATGTCTAAGGAGGAGAACTCTGCTTGGTGAAGTGGAAGTGTGATGTCATTGACCGTTACTGAGCAAACACACCTGTATTTTCCACTTCTTGGATTCTTATGTCAACTCTTTTTAGAGTTCTTGGCAATAGGAGATCCTCAGGTGTCAAAAAAAAATTGTTCTCATGAAAGTAAAGATGCCCTGCTCTTTGGGCAATGCAGTTAGGAAACCATTACTTAGGCCTTGTTTCAATGAGATGCAGTCACCCCCATTGGTCATTGATGAGGTGGATGAGGGAGCCTCCACAGCAGTGGTAGGCAGAGTCGTAGCTGATTCTTGAAAGGATGCTAGAATAGGGGAAACAGTCACGGTCAATCTGTGTGTCCACAGCTCTGCTCTACTATATTAAATTAATAAGTGTGGGAGATGAAAGACTTTATGGGATGCTTAGAAACCTTCAGATGGACACAACAGGAAAACCCACAGAATAAATTAACCTGAACTCATAGGAGCTCACAAAGAATGAACAGACAACCAGGCCCCTGCATGGGACTTACCTAGGCCTTTGTTTATATTTTATAGTTTGCAGCTTGGTCTTCTTTTGGGACTATTAACAGTGGGAAAAATGGCTGACTCTGACTATTGCCAGCTTTGGGACACTAATCCTCATTCTTGGCAGCCATATCTAGCCTTCGACTTGATGTACCCTTTTTTGTTGACTTCCATGTGAGGCCTGTGCTGCTGTGAAAAGAAACTGAGGAGCTGAGGGTAGAAAAGGATGACTGGGACTTGGGAAAGAAGAAAGGGGGGAACAAAGAAACAAACAAATAATTAAGTACAATATTAAATTAAAGAAATCCCTTGATGGATGTATGTTGCTTTTAGTAACTTTGAATAAGTCCTCCTTTGGGTACATAGTGGGGCTCTTTGAACAATCCCTCTGAAAATGTTTATCTGTGGTTCCTTAATTGATTTGCTCTGATTTTGGCTAATCTCCTTAATAATTAAAAATAATAACAAAAATGGATATCTGTGGACAAACCCTGGAACATCAGTGATGTGAAGAAGGGAGTTACAGAGTTACTAATAAGATGGACATTGAGAGAATATGCTTTCTAAGCAGGCTCCCTGATTTTAGACATTTTTTTTTAGAGGGCAAAGAACTACACAAATACAATTGTCAAATTCTACAATTTCAAGAAATTTGCCTTTCCTACTTATGTAATATTAAGGCTACATGGGAACCTTGAGAGTATACAAACAATACCATGGGTATAATCCGTGATTATCGTAAGGACTATCAATGTGGCCCTAGGTAATTGTATTAAGAATATCTACCCTGTTTGTTATGTACAACTGCCTGTTCTAGAAGTCTATACTAATTTTGAAGAATAGAATGGCTTTGGTCAATATTCAACATGACTTTTGAACAGCAATGAGGTACAAGGAGACATGGGAAGATTGTGGATATTTCTATTATTGTGAAAGCAGAGTATAATGCTGTATGCAGTCAGTGCTGACTCTTCTTGAATCCAGGTTTTTCTGTTATCTTAGGTCACTCCTAAGATTCAATGTTCATTTTACTATGGTATAATGCAGCGGTACAAGGGTAGTACCTCATTGTGTGTCAGCTTGTGCTAATTTATAAGACCCAATCGGAGGGTCCTCCCTATCAGATGTTTTCCTATCCATTGATCCAAGATAAAGGAAAAACATGTTGGAGGTGAGGTCATGATTGAGTTCTCTGAGAACTAGTGATGGTTCTAGAGTTACACAGTAATGTAGGAGAAGCTTAGTGACAACTTTGTCAATTGGGTTAGAGTGGGCAAAGTGGCTGGAAGGGGGAGGATTATGCTGCAGTCCTATTACTGGCATGGCTGGGTTAGCTTCCCTCACCTGAACAGTCACACAGAGTTGTCCTTAGGCATCTGGTTTCTCATTTACTTATCCTAGGTCATTCCTGAGTGGGAGGACTGTCATACTGCCACGTCTCCCAGCCTGTTCAGAGTATTCATTCACCTGCCTCCCCCTTACAATCATGTGACATGTTCTGAAAGAAATGATTTGGAGGGAATCTTTTCACCTGAGAAATTGTCTACTATGGCATGTTGCTACAAGGCCATAGGAAGATATGGAAATTGTTGGAGCATGTGAGACTGGCTGCAGGCAATGTTCTTCAGACAATCCAACCAGAGGCCCCAGTGGCATAGGGTAAGCTCATAAGTGTGCTCACTTTTCTCTTGGCGTTTGTCCTTCCAAAAGAACATGAATATAGAATTTTCAGTGTCCCTAAAGCTCACTGTTTCTTGCTACACCTTGTAAAGGGGACCATCCAAGGACAGAGGCGTTTCTGTACTTGGGGTGTGAAGTCCACATTGCTCCTGGCATGCTCCTATGGAGTGGCGTTTCTCTGTGCTGTCTCTAGGGATAAATGTGGAAGTTAGAGATTGTACATGTGGTTTTCATTCTTAAACTAATCTCAGATTTCATCAGATCACCTCATAGTCATCCCTCCCTTATTCCCTGTATATTTCTCTACTCCATCCTCCCACTGTGTAATGTGAGGCTCTGTTCTTCTTTAATCTCAACTGTTTTCTTCCATTATTTTTCCCCAATATTTTCTTTCCTTCATGTCACACTTTCATGTTATCCTATAAATCTATTTTTTATGATGTCCAATATTCTTCTCTGTCGAGTAAAGAAATCTCTTTGCCTTCTTCTCAGAATCTGACATCTTAGGCAAAGTCTCTGAGGCCATGGCTGGGAACTGGCAATCAGCTAATTTGAGTAGATTTTCTTTTCCTACCCCACTTGCTGCTCCTCAATTTGGATGTGTGTAAGCCCTGCAATTTTCCTCTTGTAGGTAGTTCCATTTGAGATTTTATTTATTCCAATGTTTTATTCTAATCTGTGTGTAAATGAGAACTCTCTTGGTTTTGAATTATTCAGAATCATTTGGGTTTCTATGTCTGATGGTAAAATTTAAGCTATTAATTGGCTGAGTCGGCCACTGAATGATTTCTGCATTGGGTAGTTTAGACAACTAACCTCAGATCTGGGCCAAGTCTTATACTAACAGCCCACTTAAAAGGATATGGAAGAAATACAATTATACTTTTTGTCCTTATACTCCCTTTCAAGTTTGTATATAGCAAAATATCTTGAGACAATGATTCACTGGTGTTGAAACCTACTTTTTGGGAATCCAACATGGATTGAAAACCAGCAGGTCAAAATTCTTTTGGATCAATACCTCATTTGCAATGCTGTAACACTAGGCCTTATAGAGTGAACAACTCAGGATTGTTGCCCTATCTGTCTTGAGAAAGCCTTTGTTGAACTACTTGTGACACAGCCTGTAAGCTATTCAAACATCCTCTTTAGTATCTGTTTATTCATTCCATCAATTCTGTTTCGTTAGAGACTCTATTAAGTCTGCTCCACGAGATGGAATCCATATCTGACACTGCTAAAGAATCCAAGAACCTGAGACTAGGTAGTTTATAGGCACAGGGGAAACTTATATTCTAATTCACTATAAGAACATAGCAACCAAATGGCTCCCTAGAACAGATTGCTGTATCCATGGAGTTATACCCATACACTTTCATCAGAAAATCTTCTTCTGGTAGTAGATAATAATTGGCACAGGTACCCACAACTGGACAATGTGCAGAGTATGAGAAACTTTCAGAGGTCTTTGTTTTTAATGGGATATCTTTATAAAACCTCTCTCTGAAGTCTCTTGGGTCTATTCATAAGAGAAGACCAATGGATTTGAAGCACCAGAGGTGGTGGATAACAACATGGTAACATTAAATTCTAGATGTAACAGAGGGAATGCACATGTGGACTGGGAGACCCTATGAGAGCATTATAAGACCTGTATAGTTTCAAAACTGACATGGTCCCCTCATTGAGAGGGAAAGGTGGATACAGGGTCTGATCCTATGCAAGAAGCTATTTGCAATGGATGTCTTTGAGAGGGAAAATTAGCTTTTCCACTGGCTGTCACTGGGTTTATCATTTATTAGTTAAGGCCATACATCCACGTGAGTTGGTCAACACCAAATGCTCTCCATTTTTATGTAGTTGTTTTTTAGATGTCTTTTTTGTCTTGCCAGCTTTCTCTTTTTAGTATGCTTCTCTTGATTTTCATTTTTTTGTTGTATTTTTTGGGGGAGAGCAAGAAAAAACATGAAGTTAGTTTTGTATGGGTGTGGTGATAATAATTTAGGAGGAGAAATATTATGATATTATTATTATATATATTACATGAACATTTAAATAAAATATTAATTGTCACAAGTGTGATTAAAATAAAGAATTGAATTAATTAAGTATAATGCTGTACTAGACCAAGAAATTTAGCCATGAGTTAGGAATTATGACAGAGACTCCATCTTTGTACTACAAAACTGAATAATTCAAACAAATTACAAAGGCATTACTAATGAAGCAGACAAGATAAAGAATCCCAGATGTTTGAGACAATGTTGAGAAATTATTAAACTTGGAGAATAATGAAGAAAGAAGGCACTCATGACTCTAATGTCCAGGACATCCGGATTCAAGGTCAAACAAATAAGTGGGCAATGCCTCCCTATACCTCTCTTCACTGAGGAGTTAGCCACACCGCTGTTACTTTGGTTTTAATCCAGAGTCACTGACGAAACTTGGGTACTTCAGATTAGTGATTTCATCACCTACCAAATTTCCTGTCCTTTTTTCACCTAAAATCTTACACTGAATATACAGTATTGTGGGGTTTACTGAGACATTTTCAAGCATGTATGTCATTATCCACTTTGCATATTAGTCCTCCTCATTATAGTCTTTATTCCTTGATCCTTCTTCTCCATAATCACCTCCATTCTACCTTCATGGGTATTTGCATCTTATGAGTGAATAGTGCACATTGGTGTTTTTGAGACATGTGTCTCTAGCTTCACAGGAAAACCTTAAGTTCCATCCATGT